GAGTCTCGCAATTCCTGTGCCAGACAGCAAACAGCCCATCCTCCTCAGACAGGGGTGGTCTCTGCTCAGATTATCCTCACTGGGCACAGAGGTCTTTGTGAGCCCTCTTGTTAAGCCTGGTACAGGGGGTCACAGCAGTCTGCTTCCTTCCTTGGAAATACCTGATTTTCCTCCCTCTCAGGACAGTTCTCAGCTTTACCTGCACCCTGATCCAGCAGGACAGCCTTGTATTTTAAGGTGTGACAGCCTGTGGGTGCCATGCACTAGCATGGGCTTTTTTCTTCCTTCCAGTTCTGTTATTTTAAATCTCGAAGTTCTATTTAAAATGTAACCCTAGCTTTTAATCTAAGCCTCAGTGTTTAGGATGTGCCAGACGTGGGGAAGGATCTGTGGTTTCACGGCAGGATGCTGCCCTTCCTCTGGCAGGGTGTATCTGCGTCATGGTGGGCAAGCCAGAGAGGTGGAGACTTTCCACAGTTCACTGTTTGCGCCTTTCTTATTATACAGCGTGCAGTTTGGGAAAGCTGCAGAAGTGTTCACGCTGCGTTGAGAAGCGTTGGGGTTTGTGTGGTTGCCAAGGGGCTTTGAGAGGGCTGAGTGTGGTGTGGAGCCAAGCCCCGGCATCTCACAGGTCTCGGAGTCAGAGGCTTTGTGGTCTAAGTCATCACTATGTCAAGGGGGATACGCCACAGGTTGTTGTGAAGGTCTCTTAATTGTTTCTTGGCCATTTAGACCCGGTGCTTCAGGGGAAAACACAGGAAGAAACTAATTTTTGTTGCTGAGTTTGGGGTTTGTGTAAAGCGAGTATCAAAAGAAGCATGAGGTATTGATCAGCACCTCTCCGCCGCGTGGGGCAGAGCCCTGAGGAGACTGCGGCATGTGACTGCATCGTGAACGCGGCATGCGAAGGAAGTGCGCAGAGGCAAATTCAGGTTGAACTCGTGATGAGTAAGTTTAGCTCTCATGTGTTTGTGTTCCTGGATTTTACATCTTTCGCATTCTTTTGAGGCAGAGTTTGTGTGTGTGGTTGTATGTGCTGGAAGCAACATCTGGATGACGGCGTGTGTGATGTGAGGAGCAGCGTGCTGGTGCAGGGAAGCCCGGGGCGTGCTTGGCCTGATGTGGGAAAGAGGAGACGGCAGAAAGCACCGGGCACTGTCCCTAGCTCAGCCCTGCTGCTCTTTCTAACCCTCGGTGCAGGGAGCCTGCGAGCGACAGTTCCAGGAGCTTCCTTTTGGCCTTGGAAAGCAATCTTTTCTGCGCTCCCTGCAGATTCGTACTGTGAGACGCTGCCCATAGACGGCCCTCCCTCTTTCCGAGGACAGTCGGTGAAGTACGTATACAAGCTGACCATCGGCTGCCAGCGTGTCAACTCCCCCATCAAGCTCCTGCGTGTTCCCTTCCGTGTCCTTGTGCTGCATGGTAAGGCCACGCGCCGCCCTCCCTGCAGACACGGGCCTGGCTGCTCCTTGCCCCATTGACGCTCTCGCCTTCTCCCCAGGGCTCAAGGATTACCAGTTCCCACAGGATGAGGCTGTTGCGCCCTCAAACCCCTTCCTGGAGGAGGAGGAGGGCTTGAAGAAAGACTCTCGCCTGGCGGACCTGGCGACAGAACTGCTCATGGTGGCCACCTCTCGACGCAGCCTGCGTAGGTCATATCCCCTGCTTGAACCTGCTGTCCTAACCTGGGCGTGAAACATAGCTTGGGGCTTGCTGCAAAAATCTGTCACTGGCAAAGCGAAGCTCTGACTGGGGCTGTGGAGCAGCTCCATCGGGGCCCGCTTGGGTCGGATTTCCCCGGGGCCCCCCCCCTGCCAGTCTCGGGCTCTTCCTAATTCAGCCAGAGAGACCCTCTCCCCGGCATATCGCAGCCAGCGCGTGGTTTGCTCTTGCTCGCTGCAGGCCTTTCCCAAAGGGAATGCTGCCTCCAGGGCCTGTCCTTCCCGCCCAAGCAGCAGGCGTGGGGTCATGTCTGCTGGGCTCTGTGATTAATCCTCATCCTCTCATCCTGCTGCAACCCTTTCCCCCCCCTCTTCTTGCTCCTCAGACCTGTATAACATAAGCAACACTCGTGGGAAGGTGGGGACGTTCTGCATCTTTAAGACCGTGTATAAGATCGGAGAGGATGTCATTGGGACCTTTAACTTCTCAGAAGGAGACATCCCGTGTCTGCAGGTCAGTGCTGGCTTTGGGGTCACTGTGGGGAGAGGCAGAGGTTTCGGGTGGGGATGAGGAAGAAGGGATTTGGGTTGCAGTGGGCTGCTGTGGGCTTTCTAGGGAGGGTTTCTGGTGGGACCCCGATGAGGTCCCTTTGGGGTGTGAGGTGGGGGAAGGCTCCAGTTCTGAGTTCATTTGCGAAACGGGGGCTGTGTGAGGTTGTGAGAGCGAGCACCCTGCCCATTGCCCTGCAGTTCTCTGTGAGCCTGCAGACGGAGGAGAGCATCCAGGAGGAGTTCCAGCGCCGGCGGGGGCAACCCGTCTCCTTCAGCACGCACGCCCGCCATCAGGAAGCCTGCCTGCACACGGCCCAGAGCAGCTTCAGCCTGCCCATCCCGCTCAGCTCTACTCCGGGATTCACCACCAACATCGGTTAGTGACCACCAGGGAAGGGACCTGCCCCTGCTTGTCTCCACAGGAGGATGCTCAGCAGGGCTGTGTCCTGTGGGAGGGAGCTGGCCTGTGTGAGTGGGCTTATTTGCATGTCCCCTTGCCAGGACAGCCAGCGCTGAGACAGCTGCTGTCCCCGTCCCTTGTGGTGTAGGCTGCTGACCCCCCTCTTGCCCACAGTGTCCCTGAAGTGGAGGCTGCACTTTGAGTTTGTGACCTCCGGGGAGTCGGCGGGGACTTGCTTCGTTCGTGGGAGCCAGTCAGAGGCCGTCACCTGGACTGGGGTGGAGCAGATGGAAGTGGACACTTTCAGCTGGGACTTGCCGATCAAAGTCCTTCCCACCAACCCCATCCTGGCTTCCTACGTATCTCAGTTCTCCAGCACAAACTCCATCACCATCTGAAGTGGGGAGAGCTGGTAGGGTCCTGTGGTGCTGTGGGTGTGTGCTGCCGGTGGGAATGGCAGGCAGGACTGTCGCTGGCGTGCTGTGGGGCGCGCATCCCAATGTCCCCTTAGGTTCATCCACGACGCCCAGGTGGGCGAGTCTGTCCCGCCTGCGGGTGGAGGAGCACTGTGCTTGCTGCGGTGTCTTGTGCTGCAGCCCTCGGCTGGGAGCCGGACCCCTCCTGCCTGGGTGAAGGTGCGAGTCTCAGCACTCACCAAAAAGAAGTCTGCCTCCTCGGGAGCAGCCCCACGTGCCTTTACCCCGTGAGGGCCTTCCAAGAGGGAAAGGCCCAGCCCAGGGAAAGGAGAGGGGAGGTCTTCCAGTGAAGCCGCGTGCCAGCCTTGGGTGAACGCCGTCCTCATTACAGAGAGACCCCATGAGCAGCGGTCTGGCATCCAGGTGAGGCACGCTGGCCACCTGGGCTGGCTGGGAGCCTGTCCTGGCATGCGTCTTGCCTCTTGGCGGGGGTGTCTCTTGCCCAGTGCCGCCGTTACCCTCGCCCAGAGGAGGCAGGTCCTGGCAGACGGGCCCCGTGCTGCCGGCACGTGCTGATGTCCTGGCCGCGTGTTGTGGCAGCACAATAGTGATGATCCAAAACTGAGAGGCACTGAGCACCTGGGCTGTTCTCTGCCTGCGCTGCTGGGCGCGAAGGCATCCTGCTGGTCTCGGGATCCTTGGGGAGCTGGAGTGAATGCCTGCTGTGCATTCAGGAGCTGGGATGGAGGTGTCCCTGCTCAACAGCCAGCTCCCCATTTCTACCACACCTTTTCAAAGAGTTTTCCTCTTTGCATGGAAATCTAATAAACGTCTGAATGTGCAAAACTCAGCCTTCCAGGAGCCTCATTCCTACCCTGTTCCCGATGGCGGACACAGCCCACCTTGCATGACAGTCACAAACTGGAGACCTCCTCTTTGTTCAATATCTTTATTGCAAGAACAGAAACATCTACACAAGGCTCTGCACAACACAGGCGTGGCACCAGCTGGGGCAGGCTCTGCCAGGGCGGCTGGCTCCACCCTGGCACATGCGGATTGCTTCAGCTCTCTGAATCCTAGCAGGGCACCCGGCTCCCGTCCCCGCTCCCCTGCAGCTGGGATGGGGGTCTCCCCTGGGGACATCTTTTAGTGATTCCCCCCCCCTCTGCTGCCCGCCCCGGGCTGGCTCTGTTGCAGTGTTGCCCGGGGCTGGCCGGCA